TCTATCGATTTTCTGGTCTTCGTGGTTGGTTTGTCTACGGTCCTTTTATTATTCAGATTTTCAGACTCTAAAGAGGAGTGATGTATTCTTCGTGCATGTGTTTTTGTTATATTTTTCTTTGGAGTTCCACTAGGAATGATCGAGAGATGGATGGCATTGATTATCGTATTTTCCATTTCTTCAGGGACCTCAGTGGCTTGGGATGTGTAATAAGACATGTCCTCTTTGTTGGCCATCTAACATTGATGGTTTGTTATTGTATTCTCCTTCTTTCTCAGTAGTGCCAGAAGATATTTTCCCTGGAGCTCACCTAATAAACAAAATATGGTTCCTGCTATAATGCCAATTGAAATTCTGGAACACATAAAAATAGATATCAAGACTGATGTCTCAACACATAAGCACAATGTCACGACATATGTTATGACATCTAAAGACAAAATATAAACTTTTACCAAAATAAAACTATGCAGAATTATAAAGTGTAGAAAATAAAAGAACACTAAGAGTTACTAACCTAGTTCGGTGCAACTCACCTGCTCTGGGGACTACCAAGTCAAAAAAGAAATCCATTGTCAGCAGTATTAAGTCTAAGCCTAAACAATCCTAGTTTACAACTTATCACTTAATCACTACTGTAGCAACTGGTTTTTTAATCAAGAGTCACCACTATTAGTTTTTATCCTAGGGAAAGGAATCTAACAGAAAACCCTAATTCGCAGACAAAGATTCTAGGTTTCGGACTCAATTAGACGAAAGGAAGGTGTTAGGCACCTTTCATCTACCTTGTTCACAAGGATACTATACTCTAGGTTTAGGTTTGGGGTAAATTGGATTTTAAGTTTTAATTAGAAAGAAAAGTGTCCTAATTTTTTAATAGGAGAACTCGCTACGATTTTTGATCGTATGCCTACGTATCCTCTTATGAGGAATCAGAGTCCCAATTTGTAGTTCGTATGGGTTGGTGTTTTTTATAGGATCGCGTATAATTGCTTTTGAATTTACCCTTGAACCTTGTCTGAGTTTTGAAAGGTGAGTGATTGTAGACGCAGTTCGCAGTTAATTTGAAGTAATTCTCCTTGATCCTTTTTCGAAAATAATCTTGAGTTTTGATTATGTTAGTAGAAAACTAGTTTGTAATTGGTTAGCCATTTTTGTATTTGATTTGATTAAGACGTAGAGCGGAGAGTCTGATATAGTCTCCTCACCACACGGTCAGATATTGACTTCGTGCTGCTCGTTATGAAGGATGCGGAGGAAGTCTGATATAGTTTTCCTCACCACGTGGCCAAATATTGGCCATGTGTCGCTCGCGGATGGAATATTCAGAATTGCGTGGGTTTTGATTGTTTGATTGATAAACCGATAGGCGATGTGTCAACCGATTTAATTACTCGGGAATAGATATCTTATTATTTATAGAATATTTGAATGAATTTGATTGTTAAAATTACTTTGCGTACAAATTTATGTTTTGATTTCTTTTTAGTCAATCAATAAATAATAATAGAAAAAATGATTAAGCCACCAAATAATAAAAAAAAACTAATTAGATCAAATGACTATGTTTGTGGTATTTATTATTAATTAAATGAAAATAAAATAAAAAGAAAATGAAATGCTTTATGTCCCACGTAGAACGTGAGATTCTAAGACTAAACACATATTATAATGTTATAATCAAAATGGACAGTGGGAGTAATTAATCATGAAAAAAAGTTTCTATACTAACAATCTTATTTTAATGTTATAGTTTAAACAAAAATTATAAACAAGTAAGGTTACATATAGTAAGTCACCAACATATCCACCTTTAAACATATAATTACTAAGAAATTAAAACAAAAGAAATGGGGAGCTATAGTAGTGAAGGGCATTTCTAACATTAACGTAAAAAGATTAATTTTTAAGACTTTCCCCACTTAATAGCATCGGCCAACCAGGACGTGACACGCAACATTTTCCCTTTTTCCTTAAAAAATGATTAAACGATAGATTAAGTGAAAGAATGGAGAGATAAAATAGTACTTTCACTTTACCCAAACCTAATCATCTCTATTTCTCAGAACCTTCTCTGTTCACACTTCTTCTTCTAAATCGGAAAAAAAAAATTAACAAAAAATATTACTCTCTTCTTTCATCATGGAAATCAAACTAATAAATTCTACCATACACCTAAATCAAAGCATGACCTTATCTTAGCTTAGATAATAGAATAGATCATTAAGTTTTCTATTTTGTTATTATCTTGATCCAATGCTGTTATTTAATCTAGACTTATGCATATATTATATAATGACCACTTGTACAGATTTAATTCATTCATTCAATGCAACAGTAAGAACTTTACTTTTTCCTTGCCTTATCATTTTCTGTTAGAATACAGTTAGAATTCTGTTGCTTCTGTTTTGCTCCAATGGAGTTTTCCACCATTCTTGATATGGTATCAGAGCTAATCAAGCTCTGGTAGCCATCCTTCTCTGAGCGACGCTTGCTTTCTTTCTCTTTTGCTCGCGCATTTTCTTGAGCTTCTTCTTCTGTTTCAATGGCTTACCAGAGCTATGTAGATTTTTCTACAAATTTCGCAAATCCTTTCTACTTACATCCGAATGAAAATCCAGCACTGGTGCTTGTTTCGCCTCCACTCGACGTCAAGAACTATCATGTTTGGGCTCGATCGATGCAGATAGCGTTGATATCCAAGAACAAAGACCGATTCATTGACGGATCCCTCCCTAAACCACCGCTATCTGATCCACTCTATGCTCCTTGGATTCAGTGTAACACTATGGTTCTTGCTTGGATCCAACGCTCTATTTTCGAGTCAATTGCGAAGTCAGTGTTATGGATCGACAATGCTGCTGGTGTTTGGAGGAACTTGCAAGTTAGGTTTTCTCATGGTGATATCTTTCGTATTCCAGACATCCAGGAGGAATTGTACAAATTTCGTCAAGGTACGCTCGACGTTTCTAATTACTTTACTCAGATGAAGGTTTTATGGGATGAACTTGAGAATTATCGCCCCATACCTGTTTGTACCTGTGCTATTCCATGTTCTTGCGATGCTATTGCTTCTGTTCAGCGTTATAGGGAACAAGACTATGTGCTTCGATTTTTGAAAGGTTTGAATGACAAATTCACACATTCAAAGTCTCAGATTATGATGCTGAACCCATTGCCAAATATTGATAAGGCATTTTCTCTTGTCATTCAACAAGAAAGAGAGATGAATAGCTCTGTCTCTAATAGTTTGTCCCCTACTGATAACACTGATGAGGCCACAACTTTGAATGTTCAAAGTAATCACAATAGTAAACCTGGATATGGCAACTTTAAATGGAAATCTCAAGGGACTGGTCCTAAAGGTCATGCTAGGGTTTGTACTCACTGTAATAAGACCAACCATACCATAGAAACTTGTTTTCTAAAGCATGGATTTCCCCCTGGATATAAAGGCAAAAGCAAGGTTCCAGGTTCTTCTAATACTTCTTAGCCAACTGCCATGGCCAATACTGCCTCTGAGAACCAATCTACAGGTTCTTCCCCTGCGTCCTCTTGTGCCCTTACTCAAGAGCAATACACTCACATCATGGCCCTATTACAACAGTCACAGCTTAATTCCCATGCCAATTCCATCTCAACTTCTCCTCTTGCCTTGAATTTTCAGTCAGGCTCTAATGGTAAGAATTCTAACATTTGGATCCTTGATACTGGTGCTACTGACCATATTTGCTTTGACATTAGCCTGTTTCTTGATCATAAAAATATTGTCCCTATTCCTGTAAATTTACCTAATGGCTCTCAAGTAATTGCTTCCATAACTGGTATTGTTGTTCTTTCTCCCTCCCTAACTCTGCATCATGTCTTGTTTATCCCTAGTTTTCATGTTAATCTTGTCTCTATTGCCAAGCTTGTTGATAGCAATAATTGCTTTGTTCAATTCCATGCTAATTCTTGCCACATTATGCAGAATCATTCCAAGGCAATGATTGGTATAGCTAATGTGCAAAGGGGACTCTATACTCTTGAGCTTACAAGATCTAATTCTGTTTTTTCTTTTGTCAATAATACTTCTTGTAATACATGGCACTTAAGATTAGGTCATGTGCCTTACTTAGGATTACATGAAATTTCTAAAGTTTTTCCTTTCATTAATTGTAATTCAAAATTGGATCCTTGTGACTCATGTCACTTTGCAAAGCAAAAGAAGCTTTCTTTTCCTATTAGTACTTCTGTTTCATGTGCTCCTTTTGATATTTTGCATGCTCATTTATGGGGGCCATTCTCCACTGTATCTACTCTTGGTCACAAATATTTTTTAACATTAGTAGATGATTATTCAAGGTTTACATGGGTCATTTTCCTCAGCACTAAAGTTCAAACTAGGGCTAGCCTCATTCAATTTGTAGCTCTCATTGAAACTCAATTTAAAACATCTCTTAAGTGCCTTAGGTCTAACAATGGTACATAATTCCTTACCATTGCTGATTTTCTTTTATCTAAGGGAATTGTGCATCAAAAATCTTGTGTTGAGACTCCTCAACAGAATGGTGTAGTTGAGAGAAAACACCAACATATTCTAAATGTTGCTAGAGCCTTATATTTTCATTCCAATGTCCCCTTATCTCTCTGGAACTTCTGTGTACAACATGCTGTTCACCTTATAAATAGACTACCCACACCCCTTTTAAAATCAAAATCTCCCTATGAAATTGTTTAAACAACCACCTTCCATCATACACTTAAAGGTGTTTGGCTGTCTATGTTTTGTTTCTACTTTGCAAGCACATAGGACCAAATTTGATCCTAGGGCTCACAAAGCTATCTTTCTTGGTTTTAGGGATGGTACCAAGGGGTACATAGTTTACAATCTTCATAGTCATGCTATTTCTGTGTCTAGAAATGTCATCTTTTATGAAGATGTCTTTCCATTCAAACTTTCTTCTGTGTCATCCTCTCCTTCCTCTATTCCTTCTTCTATCCTCAATGACTTTCTTGACATGCCATCACCATTTAACAATGCTATTGACCATATCAGCACTGATTTGACTTCACCATCTGTTCCTAGTACTTCTCCTGACAGCAGTGGTACTCCTCAATCTCCCTATAATCCTAGATCTCCTTTATCTTTTAGTCCCTCTGCTGTTACATCCCCTCACAATCCTTCTAGTACATCTAGTCCTTCTAATGCCACATCTTTTCCTGTGCCTTCTGACCAAAATCAGAATCCTCATGTCTCTTCTCCTGAGTTGTCTAATCAGTCCATAGACTTCCCTACTCCTATTCCTCCTATAAGGCAGTCCAGCAGAACTTCCAATCCCCCTAGCTACTTATCTGATTATCACTGTTATTCCACTCTTACATCTCATTCTAGTCCTTCTTCCTCTAAAATTACATATCCTCTTTCTTCTATTCTCTCTTATAAACATTGTTCTCATGCTTACAAAAACTATTGTTTTTCTATTTCTACCAATATTGAACCCAAAACATATGCTCAAGCAATTAAGCAGGATTGTTGGAAGAATGCCATGGATGATGAGTTGAAGGCTCTTGCAAAGAATCACACTTGGACTATAATGGATTTGCCTCATGGAGAGGTTCCCATTGGTTGTAGATGGGTTTACAGAATAAAATACAAAGCTGATGGGTCTATAGAGAGGTATAAGGCTAGGCTTGTTGCCAAGGGATATACTCAACTTGAAGGAGTTGACTATTTTGACACATTTTCTCCAGTTGCTAAGATCACCACTGTCAGAGTATTGTTATCCATTGCTGCCATTAAGGGTTGGCACTTGGAACAATTGGATGTAAACAATGCATTCTTGCATGGTGACTTGAATGAGGAGGTATATATGTCAGTTCCACCTGGTCTCTCTGTTTCCAGTTCTACTCAGGTTTGCAAGCTACAAAAGTCATTGTATGGTTTAAAGTAGGCTAGTAGACAATGGTACTCTAGACTTTCTGTGTTTCTTCTTTCCTTGGGGTACTCTCAATCACAAGCAGATCATTCTTTGTATACCAAGTCTACTGAGCACAGTTTCACTGCTTTACTTGTTTATGTTGATGACATAGTCCTAGCTGGGAATTCTCTACAGGAAATTCAGTTTGTTAAAAATGTTCTTGACAAAGAATTCAAGATCAAGGATCTTGGTCAATTGAGGTTCTTTTTAGGTTTTGAAATTGCAAGGTCCTCTAAGGGTATTTTTTTGAATCAAAGGAAGTATGCTCTTGAGCTTTTAGAGGAGACATGTTTACTTGCTTGCAAACCATCTTCTGTACCTTATGATCCTAACTTGAAACTTTCTGTTTCTACTGGTGAACCTTTGCAGGATCCTTCTTCCTATAGACAGTTGATTGGTAAATTGATCTACCTTACTAATACCCAGCCAGATATTTCTTATGCTGTTCAACAGTTAAGTCAGTTTGTGTCTCATCCCTTACTTCCACATCATCAGGCTGCCATTAAGGTTCTGAGATATTTGAAGAGTTTTCCTACCAAAGGCATTTTGTTCTCCTCTAATAGTGCTCTTAAAGTGTATGGTTTTGCTGATTTTGACTGGGCACGATGTCCAGATACGCGCAGGTCAACAACTGGTTTTTGTGTTCTTCTAGGTACTTCTCTCATTTGCTGGAAGTCCAAGAAACAGAACACAGTGTCACGTTCTTCAACTGAAGCAGAGTACTGTGCCCTAGCATCCTTGACTTGTGAGCTTCAGTGGCTTCAGTATTTGTTCAAAGATCTCACCATCACTTTGTCTCAACCTGCCTCAGTTTATTGTGACAGTAAGTCCGCTATCTACTTGGCTCACAATCCTGCATTTCATGAGCGTAGTAAACACATAGAAATTGACTGCCATGTTATACGTGAGAAGATTCAGTCCAAGCTCTTGCACCTTTTGCCTATTTCTACAGTGGATCAGCTCGCGGACATGTTTACTAAGCCATTACATTCTCCAGCTTTGACCTCCATTTTGTCCAAGTTGGGTCTATGCAGTATCCATAGTCCAACTTGAGGGGGCCTCTTAGCTTAGATAATAGAATAGATCATTAAGTTTTCTATTTTGTTATTATCTTGATCCAATGGCTGTTATTTAATCTAGGCTTATGCATATATTATATAATGACCACTTGTACAGATTTAATTCATTCATTCAATGCAACAGTAAGAACTTTACTCTTTCCTTGCCTTATCATTTTCTGTTAGAATACAGTTAGAATTCTGTTGCTTCTGTTTTGCTCCAATGGAGTTTTCCACCATTCTTGATACCTTATGAATACATCAATCGATTAATGCAAGAAGTTCGAAAGGGAAGAAACAAACCATACTCCGGCGCAATGACTTCTTTTGTAGGTGGGTTTGGAGTTGTGCGCAGAGGTAGTACGAGGGAGGTGGTGAAGGAAGACGATTGCGGTCGTCGATTGCGGTTCTAAGAGGAGGGTGTACGCATATTGATCTGTAGGTCACTGACGGTGCTTCTCACAGCAGGGTCTGCTGTTGGCATGGACACAATTTTTCGGCGATGATAAGGCTGCTTCCGGGCGGAGAAGCTTCGACGGAGGGAGTTGTCTCGCGGCGGCTTTCGGAGCAATTTCCAATTTCTTCTTCCTTTTAATTTTTCTGCAAAAAAGAAAAAAAAAACCTCTGAACCAAATAGTTAATGTTAAGCATGGTGTTTTGTGTTGAATTTTTATGTTTGAAGATTGAATTGTTATTGTGACAATCTTTGATAAAATTATGAGTGAGAATTTATAGCTTTTGTAAAAAATAGATAGGTTTTAGTTTTACTGGTTTAATTGTTTGGTTCATGGATTGTACATGTTTGAAGTTTGTACGTGAAAAAAAACAGGAAGAGATTTTTAGACTTGCCTCAAAATAAGAAAAATAGAGGATAAATAGTTTGAATTTGTGTGGTGATAAAAAAGTGCAATTTTTATGTACAATATCCTGAATATGATTTTTGGTCTTTTTATTCAATGAAAAAAATAAGGGTTAGAAATTCTCATAGACGTACCGCATGGAAATTGTTGAAAAATTTCTAACATATAAAGTGTATGGTGATAAGATTGTTATTACCAAAGAAATATAATTAAAAACACCATCATTTTAAAATCATATGGTTTAAGCTACAACCAAATTAAAATAAAAAAGAAGATAAAATTGAAACTAAAAGGCTGGCCTCATATGGTAATCGTTGGCCAAAATAGATATCGAAGTTTTGAAAAAGTGTATGAAAGTGAAGGTTGAAATTGATAAATATGTTGTGTATAGTGAAGTTGTGAGAAATTGTGGATTTGTGTGTGAATTGTATGTTTGTGGATATTTCTGGATGAATTCTCCCCCTCCCCCTATTAGGACAATAATGAGCCATATTTATAGAGTAAAATTATGTTAAAATTTGGAGAAAAAGTTAGCCCAAAGTGAATAAAAGGTCCAAATTAAATTTTATCTATTTATAACTTATTTTGAGTATTTTTTTAAATAAAATAAATATTTTAATAAAAAAATAATATTTTCAAAATATAATAAATAAATAAATACGAAAAAAAATAATTTAATAATAAAAATATGATTTAGAAAATGAAAATAAAGTTAGTAACAACAAAAATATCCAAAATGGACCAAGTGAGATTCGATCCTATGACCTTTTGCTTGTCAATATTTCTCCCTTACCAAATGTGCTATGTCACTTATTCAAAAGTAAAATGTTAATTGAAAGTATATAACAGCGAACAATTATTTTCTATTTTCTACAAATAATACATATAATTATTATACTTACAAACAAGACTTGAAAGCAAATTTTTTTTTAATTAAAAACTCAAAATGTTAATATAATTAAATCAAAGGAATTTTCTATCTGTAACACCCAGATCAATAAGTTTGACGATAGCAATAAGGCGGACAAATTTAATTTCAACCTCCCTTTTACCAACGACCATTTAACAATTTAGAATTTTACAGTTACTCCATTAATTTCCATTTACGAATCGCATGGGCCAATGGCCAACATGTCTCGCGAATGGATTCACGGATACGCGAGTCTTTCTGATTTAGAAAACCCTGTTTTTCCTGAATTAAAGATACACCCCTGACTGACTTAAATTTTAAAAATGGGCCATCAGATATTATTGTGCCATCCTTAATTGAACGTTTCTTTATTATTTAAAACTTGAAAAATCGAGTCATCGAGGTAGAACAAATTTGAGGTACCACAGCTGCCCCTATTCAATTATCTTCCAATCAAATATCGTGAGAAAACGCAAGTCTCGCGCATTTTAATTGGAAGTTTATTGAATAATTGAAGTGTCCCATAATTTGTCCGACAAACACAAGGTTACACTGATATAGCATACCCTTAAGTGTCTTAATGAGGTAGGCAAAGCCGATGATATATCGCTTACCGGGGTTTGATAACGAGACAGATAGTTTTGAACTTAAGAGCGTAATTTTGTATGTCTTGGCTTATTCACCCATTTGGAGGGTGAGTATATCAATGATTGATGATGCATGGCTGCTTGAAGACTGAGGCCATGGGCTATGTAGGCGAATCACTGCATGACATCTGACGCGATGTTTTGAGCATGAATACATTGTGGCTCAGAGGATATGTATTTGAATTTGAAGAATGCATTGCAGCTTAGAGGCAATGAGTTTGGAGAATGTATTGCAACTTAGAGACAATGTGTTTGAGTTGGAAGAACGCATTGCGGCTTAGAGGAAATGTGTTGAATTTTGTTTTCTTTTAAGCATCGCAGCATGAAGTCTGAGGCAATGATCGGTGTTCATGGAATAACGAAATGTATTGCTGCATGAAGTGTGATGCAATATGTAAAAGTTTTATTTTTCATTGTAGCATGAAGTCTGAGACGATGGTCGGCGTTTATGGAATGAAAGAAACACATCGCTGCATGAAGTCTGATGCAATGGGTTACCATTTTGTCAAATCGCTGCGTGAACTCTGAGACGATAAGCTGGATTTGGTTTTCGGACATTGTTGCATAAAGTCTGAGGCGATAAGTTAAATTTGGTTTTAGAACATCGCTGCATGAAGTCTGATTCGATAGGCTTGTGTTATGGAGTAATGAGATATACATTGTTGCATGAAGTCTGAAACAACGAGTTTGGTTCATGAATTGCTGCATGAAGTCTGATGCGATAGGCTAGATTTTATGGAATAAAGGAATACATCGTTGTATGAAGTCTGAGGCAATGAGTCAGGTCCACAAATCACTGCGTGAAGTCTGATGTGACAAGCTAAATTTGACTTCGGACATCGCTGCATGAAGTCTGAGACGATGGTCTGGAGTTTGGAATACATTGCTGCATGCAGTCTGAGGCAACAGGTTAGGTTTGCAAATCACTGTGTGAAGTCTAATGTGATAAGCTAAATTTGTTGTTTTGAACATCGCTGCATGAATTCTGAGACGATGGTCTGAGTTTGGGTAATGCATTGCAGCTTAGAGGCAATGTGCTAGTTCGCAAATCACTGCGTGAAGTATGATGTGATAAGCTAAATGTGTTGTTTCGAACATCGTTGCATGAAGTCTGAGGCGATGGTCTGGAATTTGGCATAACGAAATACATTGATGCATGAAGTCCGAGGCAATGGATTAGGTTCACAAATTGATGCGTGAAGTCTAAGGCGATAAGCTGGGTTTTGTTTTTGAGCATCGCTACATGAAGTCTGAGACGATGATCTGAGTTCGGGTGATGCATTGCGGCTTAGAGGCACTATGCTGGTTTGGATAATATATTGCGGCTTAGAGGCAATATGTTGATCTGGAAAGATACATTGTCGCGTAGAGGCAATGCATTGAGTTTTGCAAATACATTGCGGCTTAGAGGCAATGTGTTTGAGTCGGACGATATATTGCGGCTTAGAGGAAATATACTGAGTATTGACAATGTGTTACGGCTTAGAGGCAATGCAATGGGTTTTAAGAATGTGTTACGGCTTAGAGGCAACATACGGAGTGTTGAGAGTTTATTGCGGCTTAGAGGCAATGTGTTGAGTTTGAGGATACATTGCGGCTTAGAGGCAATGTGTTTGAGTTAGGTGATATATTGCGGCTTAGAGGCAATATACTGATCTGGAAAGATACATTGCGGCTTAGAGGCAATGTGTTGAGTTTTGCAAATACATTGCAGCTTAGAGGCAATGTGTTTGAGTCAGACGATATATTGCGGCTTAGAGGAAATATGCCGAGTTTCGCGAATGCATTGCAGCTTAGAAGCAATGTGTTTCAGTCGGACGATATATTACGGCTTAGAGGCAATATGCCGAGTTTTGCGAATACATTACGGCTTAGAGGCAATGTTCTGAATTTTGCAAATACATTGCGACTTAGAAGCAATGTACTGAGTTTTACAAATACATTGCGGCTTAGAGGAAATGTTCTGAATTTTGCAAATACATTGCGGCTTAGAAGCAACGTACTGAGTTTTGCAAATACATTGCGGCTTAGAAGCAATGTACTGGGTTTGTAAGGAACTCATCACTGCGGGAAGACTTAGGTGATGGGTTAAATGTGTCACAACATGAAGACTGAGGTGACAGGTTGAATCGTAGGAGGGGTATTTTATTGATTGACCCTTAGATAGTTGAATCGAGGGTGAGATTATTTGTTTGTTTGCTATGTGATATATGTGTATGCATGCACATTAACTGTTGTATGTATGCGAAATGTATGATGTTTGACATTAATATGGAACCCTGGATATGTATGTAAAAAATGTATAGTATATGTATGCTATGCAAATTGTATGTATGAAATATGCGTAAGATGTGTGTATGCCTTGAAATGTTATGAAGACTATTCCTGGCATTCTCTCCTTTTAACCATTGGCTTAGAGTTACCGATTCCTGGCGTTGTATGTTGTGTCGTCATTGTATTGTTGAACTTGAATACAATGGACAATGTTAGCAAAAGTTGAGCATTAATTTTGTATTGCGGGCGTAGGCGTAGGCGTAGACATAGATAATGTCCTATGCGTAGATTTGCATGCAGGCGTAGACGTAGATGTAGACGTAGGCAATAGCCTATGCGTAGATTTGTATGCAGGCGTAGACGTATGTATATGGTCTCTGTAAGCGCGGGCGTAAGCATATACATAGGTAGATTGGTACATTATAGGCACATGCGTAAGCGTAGATTCGTATGTCGTAGGCACGGGCGTAAGCATAGACGTATATTGATTTGTATGTCGTAGGCGCAGGCGTAAGCGTAGACGTATGCAGATTAGTATGTTATAGGCGCAGGCGTAAGCGTATACGTATGTAGACTCGTATGTCGCAGGTGTAAGTGTAGACATATGTAGAATTGGCAGGAGTACACATGTGCGTGGATGCGTACGAACGCCGACCTTGTGTTGCAAGTTATGTATAGGCACTGACATGGACATAGACTTTGCGCGGACGCTTAGATGTAGG